AAAATTACATGACCCAAGTTTAAGTGGATTTAGTTACAATACAGACCCAATAACCTTGAATGTGGGTCTAACTGCAAAATCGTATCATAAAAGTATAATAATTAAAAAGATTAAAAAAAAACATAGAAAAAAAAATCAATATGAAGAAAATAGCTAATGAAAAAAAAAGGAAAAAAATCCGAATTAACTAGGTTAACTCTTCAAATCAGGTTAATCCGTCAAACATTGAATTTCGTGTCATGAAAGTTTAATAACTAAATAGAAAAAAATTGACGGGTCAAATCCGAGATCCGTATCATGACAGTTTGATAATTAAATAGAAAAACATTTAACATTAACAAACTAAAATAAATAAAAAATTAATTAAAAATAAAAACAAATAAAAGGCATCGGCCTTTTTATTGTGGATTGCACTCTACAGTCCACTATCAAAGGTCTAAAAAAGTAAAAATAGAAAGAAAAAAAACTAACTAGGTTAAAAGAAAAAAAACCTATAGCAAGAAAAAAACTAATAACAAAAAAAAATTAATTAACTGGATAACTCGTCAAATTTGAGATCCGTGTTATGAAAGTCTGATGATTAAATAGAAAAATTTTTAATATCAACAAACTAAATTAAAAAGAAAAAAAAACAAAGAAGAAAAAATTTATATAGAGAAAAGGCTAATGAAGAGAAAGAAAAAAAATCTGAATTAGCTGAATTAATCTGTCAAACAAGAGATGCATTTCATGAAAGTCTTATAACTAAATAGAAAAAAATTTAACATAAACAAATCAAATTAAAAAAAAACAATTAAAAAATAAAAAAACAAAAACAAACAAAAGGCATCAATTTTTTTACTATGAACTACAATGTGCAGTTCAAAATGAAAGACATAAATATAGTAAAAAAACTAAAACAAAAATTAAAGGCATCAGTCGATAACTAAATAGAAAAAAATTAATACTAATGAACTGAATTAAAAAAAACATTAATTAAAAAGAAAAGGAAAAAAACCTATAAAAAGAAAAAACTAATGAAAAAAAAAGGAAACAAAATCTAAATTGAGTATTTTAACCTGTCAAACCTGAAATCTGTGTCATAAAAGTTTAATAACTAAATAGGAACAAATTTTATATCAACAAAATAAATTAAAAAATTAACTGAAAAAAAAAGACATCAGCCTTTTTTATTGTGGACTACACTGTGCAGTCCAAAATGAAAAGCATAAAAAGAAAAAAAAATAGAAAAAAACTAAAGGTATCAACCTCTTTACTGTGGATTGTATACAATATTAAAAGATAAAATTAAAAAAAACTAATTAAAATTTTTTGAATCAATCGGGTTTACTACCAAATCAGGTTAATCCATTAAATCTAGGATTCTTATTATGAAAGTGTGATAACTAAATAGAAAAAAATAATAATATTAATGAACTAGACTAAAAAAAATTAATTAAAAAGGAAAAAGAAAAGAGAAAAAAACCCACAAAAAGAAAAAAACTAATGAAGAAAAATAAAAAATCTAAATCAATTGGATTAACTCATTAAATCTAAGATCCGTGTCATAAAAATATAATAATTAAATAGAAAAAATTTAATATTAAGAAAAGAAATTAAAAACAATAATTTGAAAAACAAAAAAAGAAGCCAAAAAACTAAAGTCATTAGCTTTTTTACCGTGACTGTACTGTACAGTTCACAATAAAAAGCTTAAAAAAAAAGAGAAAAAAACAAAAAATACCCACGAGTTAATTTTTTTTGAATAAAAAATACAAAAAAAGCTAATATCTAAGAGTGTTAAGTTTTTTTGTAAAGATATACCAAGAAGCTTTGAGTCTAACTGCAATGTTTGACCTAAAAGTAATATTTATAATATTAATAATAATATTAAATTTACATGACTCGAGTTTAAGTAAGTCTGACTGCAATACCAGATTCAAGAGCCTTGAATATGAGTTTTGTTGCAAGGTCGTGTTATGAAAGTATGATAATTAAATAGATTAATTAAAAAAATAAAAAAAACCAATATGAAAAAAAAGTGAAATATCTGAATAACTGAGTTAACTCTTCAAATCAAGTTAATCCATCAAATATGAAATTCACGTCATGAAAGTGTGATAACTAAATAGAAAAAAATTAACGGGTTAACCTAAAATTAACGCGGTTAACCCGTGAACCTAGATTAACTCATGAAACTCGAGATATATATTATGAAAGTCTGATAACTAAATAGAAAAAAAATTTAACATTAACAAACTAAACTAAAAAAAAAAAATTAATTAAAAACAAAAAAAAACAAAAAAAAACTCCATGTTACCTTGTTAAATCAGATTAACCTGTTAAACTTGGGATGCATGTCATGAAAATCTGATAGCTAAATAAAAAAATTTAAAATTAACAAAACAAAATAAAAAAAAGGACAGGTTAACCCAGCTTTAAGTGGCTTAACTTGTAAAATCAGGCTAACTTATCAAACTTGGAATATATATAATGAAAGTTTGATAACTAAATTGAAATA